TCAGAAGTTGCTAAGAAACGCTGGGTCTATGTAAAAGTAATGTGGGTGAGGAAAAGAGAGAGTGGGGTTGGAGGGAGCTGAAGTATTGGGATGGGGGTTGGATGACGCTGAGACCTGAAGGCTTGAGTAATGGAGTATCTACTGCATGTAACTCATGTAAACATCACATATACTCATTGGTTTTGCTTTAAGTACCATTATTTTGCTGTCAAGTGGTTGGAACTGAGAGTATCACTACTTTCCAACTTGCCACCTTTTATAGAGTTCATTTGGACAAAGCTATGCAGGACAACAGGTAAGTCAGCACTTGCAGCCATGTAAAAGGCACAACTGTTTCAAACCCAGGTTTAAACTCTAGTCCAGTGGTTCTCAACCAGGGATATGTGCAGAGGTCTTCCAAGGGGTACAACTCATCTAAATATTTGCCTAGTTTTACAGCAAGCTACATAAAAAGCACTAGTGAAGTCAGTAAAGTAAAATTTCATACAGACATTGATTTGTTCAAACTGCTCTATATACTATACACTGAAATGTAAGTACAATGTGTATATTCCAATTGATTTATTTTATAATATGGTAAAAATGAGAGAGTAAGGAATTTTTTCAGTCATAGTGTGCTGTGACACTTTTGTTTTTATGTCTGATTTTGTAACCAAATAGCTCTTAAATGAGGTGAAACATGGGGGTACGCAAGGCAAGTCAGACTCCTGAAGTGGGTACAGTCGTCTGGAAAGGTTGAGAACCACTGCTCTGGTCTCTTTGAATTTGACAGGATATGCTACCAGAGTTGCACAACAGCCAGAATGCTACAGTTCTTCTTTGAGAGTCACAAGAATTTTGGAGGGATGATATAGCCATTAATTATTAGCATTGTGGAGCTTAAACGTTCAGGATCTAGATCTCCGAGAGGCTATACTGGGAAAAGATAAGGAGTGGGCCCCTCCAGGGCTGCTGCTAGTTGTGAAAACTGGAGTGTTTAAAAGATTTCAGAAATAAATGAAGTATTAAGATCTCTTTTTTCCCCCCTACGGTAGATTTTTTTGGCTGAAAGCCTTTAATACTCCTAATTAAAAGACCTGTTTGATTACTGATATAATGATGAGACTGTGATGTTAAAATGGAGGTACCTTTTTGAACAAACGCTCTTATAAGAGGTACAACGCCATGAATTTACACACTGACTTTTTTTTCTGATATCAGTCTTTAACAGATAATGACTTTAAAAAAAAAAGTTATATTTCTGTAACCAACAATGCAACCATATGTACATTATTTTGGGATATCATGTTTTGTTTCTGCAAGGGAATGGAGGGGATATCCAAACCCTAATTGGGTCTAATGTAATGTCTCCATTTGCCCTCTCCCCATTCTACTTCTATAAGTATCTCTCAGTATGACACCCCTTTGCTTTCTAGAATGCAGAGTACCAGTTGGATTCTGAAAGATACAATACATCTATTTAAAAAAAAATTGTAGGTCCTGACACCTGGACAAACCAAACTGATGTGTGCTGATTTTATTATTAATATATTGCATTTCTGTGATGCCTTTATTTCTGAAGTACATTCACATTTTGTCTAAGGATCACTCTTCGCTTACTGTCCCCATTGAAATACCACCCATGGTTTTGAAAATTAGTCCATATTTGGAACTAAGGAATTGGCAGTCTTACTGTTCAGGTCAGTCTCCCAAACTGGGAGATTGCTATTTGTCTCACATTGGCTTTTAAATTTTGACTCTGACTAATCTCTTATGGAAGGAAGAGATGCCTATTTTTTAAAAACTGCTTTCTGCCTCATTGCAGTCTAAGGCTTCAAGTCTGCATATGTATGTGCATGTGCTAAATGGAAGTCAATAGAACTAATGCAGGTAGAGTTATGGGTGTCCTTCAAGAAAAGGAATACTTGTGGCACCTTAGAGACTAACAGATTTTCAGTTTCTGCAGGATTGGGGCCCATTTTTGGTAATTGGAGTTTGTATAGGCAGGTTTTAGAGGGGAAAAATCAAAACTTTAATTACAGCATCACCAGGTGCTTCTTCATTAGGAAATGAACAATAAGTGAGACAGAGGTATGCAGGAAAAACTAGGGGGGAGAGTGTTTTGGGGGAGAGATTTTTCTCAGATAAGGGCTGTCCATAAATTACTTAATACAGTTTTGGTAGCTTCAGGACCCCTCCCATCCTTTTGTAACATTGAAACAAAATTTAAGGACCTATCCACTACTGAAAGTGACTTATAGTCTTATAACACTGTAAACTTTTTGAAATTATGTAAGTACCCTATCCTGCTAGGGATGAACAAGCCAGTAGTAAACACCAGTGGTTTTCAACCTCTGGGCTGCGGACACATGAGGGGCTGCAGCCTTAAGATTTCCAAAGGGCTCTGCACTTCTATTTGAAATTTTTTTTAGGGGACCACAAATGAGAAAAGGCTGAAAACCATTGGTATACCCAAATACCTAAAACAGTGATTCGGATCTCTGCCTTAGTTCAAATGGACCAAGTAGCCAGAGGCGGGCGTTCAAAGCGATCAGCTAGCCCCTCTGTCCCTGGAGCAGACTTCTGTCATGTGGCGGCTAGATCCAGCGGGGTAGGGGAGAGAGTTTAGCAAAAACTTGCAGTCCGCCCCCTCGCTCCCTCCCATGCGTGCTGTGTACAGCTGAGCTGCTGCCGCTCGCTTTCCCGGCAGGCCCTGCTGGTGCCCTGCCATTCCCCCGGCAGCCGCCGCGATGGCAGGAGGACGGGAGAGAGTCGCTCACTTGCTGAGGCAGCTGCAGCGCGCAGCGTGAGTGTTTGCCTCTGTGCACCAGCTTCTAGTGTGCCCCTGACCCCTAGGCCTGCCGGGCTTGGTTAAAGGTGGGAGGGTATGTGACATGAGATGTGGCTGATCAGTCAACTTTGGCAGCCTCTGTAGTAAGGGGTGTCCTTGCAAGACAACAAATTTGTTGACAACAAGAGAATGTCCTTGCAAGCAACAAATTTCATAGATCTGCAAGCTCCACAGAGGCAGGACTATGTCTGCAGCTTAGAAACTTGTACCTTTTGTAGTGTATTTTCTGGGAGCAGAGTGACTGCAGAGGAGAAGATGCCCATCCCCATCCCACCCCCACTTCCAGCAAACCGTGTCTGCCTTCTCTGTCCAGCATTGGGAAATGACTAACCCCCCGGCTGCCTTTTCCCTTTACACCCAGGGCCGGCGCCAGGCACCAGCATGCCGAGCAGGTGCTTGGGGCGGCCGTTAGAAAGGGGCAGCAGTTCCTCGGCAGCCTTTCTGTTTTGCCCGCTGCAGCGGCAAATCGGCAGCAGTTTCTTCCTTTTGCCGTCGGCGGCAGCAGGTTTTTTTCACTGCTTGGGGTAGCAAAAACTGTAGAGCCAGCCCTGTTTCCACCTCTTGCTGTAAAGGGGCAGGAGCAGGAACGCCTGCTGCAGTGAAAGGAAGAAAGTCCCTTTCACTGTGTGTAATGGTGCTCTCAATTGACAGAACTAGTCTTGCTGTTTAATCCACATCTGCATCATATCGCTCATCCACCTCAAAACCTTGTGCTCAGGCCTTGCTGCTGACATTAGCCTGTGCACTGCATGTGTCAAAGCAGCAAAATGTAGGGGTGTCAAAATCACCTGAAGAAATACTTTCTCAAAAAAGCCAGGGCAACCAAATCTAGTCTTACTTCTGTCCATTTTGACTGCCTCTCAGTAGTCTAAGCGTGGATTTGGGCCAAAGTACATAAGAACGACCATACTGAGTCAGACCAAAGGTCCATCTAGCCCAGTATCCTGTCTTCTGACAGTGGCAAACAGCTGCTTCAGAGGGAATGAACAGAACAAGTAATCATCAAGTGATCCATCTCTTGTCACCCGTTCCCAACTTCTGGCAAGCATAGGGTAGGGACAGCATCCCTGCCCATCCTGGCTAATAGCCAGCCTCCTCAGTGCAGATTATCCAACCTCTATGTACCACGGGTTGCATGTTTCTTAAGACCATGTATTTGATCTGGAGAAGGGCAGGTAACTCAATATTGGACATACTGTGATTTTTTTTTCTTTTTTTAAATGCAGTAGCAGTGAAATGGTAAGTGATAGCTGAAACCATATATTTTCCAGTTGTCTGCATCACAAAAACCATAATCTCTAACTGACACTGGCATTGATAGTCTCAATATATTGTTGGCCACTGTTGGAGTGATTATTTTAATGCTGAGGGGACATCAGTATATTGTCTAATCATTAGAGCACCTAGAGCTTTGGAAAGGTATCTTTTCATCATTTTAAATCTTCAGATAGGGGATACTCTACTCGTCCCCAGAACTAGCAGCAGGAACTTGCTCAACACAGTACTCTGACCTAACTATGCCTTGTGGCTGGTCCACAGCAGCCTGACAGAAGTGTTGGGCTTGCTCCAGACCCATCTCCTTAGGGCTCCATCAGCACAACACAGGAAGCTTTTTGCTTAATGCAACTTTCATGCTATTACCATCACATCTCCCTCACCCTCCAGTGGAGCAATTCTTCTTCCCTGGGATCCCCTCCCCCCTAGTAATCTGCCTATTTAGCCTCTTCTGTGGCCTCCATCACTGTGTACTCTGAACGCCTTGACTATATTAATTCATCTTCACAGCACCCCTGTGAGGTAGGGAAGTGTTATCTCTACTTTAGGGATGTTCTCTGATGATTCCATAGGCACCTATTCTCTTAGTGCAATTTAAGCAATAGATGGTTTGAGGAACTAATTAATTTAAACTGCACCAAAATCAGACCTAAGCCGTACTCAGGCACATTTAAATTAGGATCTAACAATTCAGCATTTGAGTAATAAAGAAACATTGTTACCTATGTGGAACACTAGATGGCAGTCCCTGTTAGTGACAATTCTTGTGAGATATGGTGGCAAGATAAATTACTTATAAGACATGACAATTGCTCTTAGAAGTAGACTTGTTAGTTTTGCTTTCCTATTTCTTTTTGAAATAAACATTTCTTTTTCATTTAATTAGGTGCCGGTGTCCAGCTCATTCCCACACTTACTCTCAAGGTAAGATTATCCTTAATGTGTGTGTCCCAAATGATTCTGCATTTTCTCTTTTTTTCATATTCAGGCTTGCATTCAATAAAAATTACAACAAAGGTAGGGCAAAGTGATAATAAATATAGTATACTTAGAAAGTGTATGTAATCGATACCAAACAGCAGTAAAAACTATTTTAATTAGAGATGTCAAACAATTTTTAAAAATCACAATTAATCATGAGATTAAAAATAGTTGTAATTAATCTCATTGTTAAACAATGAGTGCCAATTTAAATTTATTGTAAATATATTGGATGTTTTTCTACATTTTCAAATATATTGATTTCAGTTACAACACAGAATACAAAGTGTACAGTGCTCATTTTATATTATTTTGTATTACAAATGTTTGCACCGTAAAAAGATAAACAATAGTATTTTTTTAATTCACCTCATACAAGCACGGTAGTGCAATCTTTATTGTGAAAGTAGAATTTACAAATGTTTGAATTTTATTTTATTTTTTACATAACACCACTCAAAAACAAAACAATATACAACTTTAGAGCCTACAAGTCGAAGCATGAAGGGGCATATGAATACTTAGCATATCTGGCATTTAAATACCTTGCAAAGTTGGCTACAACCTAAATTTCCTCTAAGCTGCAAGGCCACACAGCAGGATATCAAGGGCCACGCAGGCTGAATGAGGAGCCCCTTGTCCAGCCCAGCCCCGTTGGAGCTGCCATGGCTGGGGAGAGATGCCCCGGCCCCGAGCTGCTGCAGCAAGAGAGGGCTGGGGGGAGTCCCCTCTCCCTGCCGCAGCCCCGGGGCAGCCTGCACCCCAACCTCCTGGTCCCATCCCAGAGCCCGCACGCCCAGCCAGAGCCCATCACCCCCACACTCTAACTCTCTGCCCTAACCCTGAGCCCCCTCCTGCACCCCAAACCCCTTATCCCCGGCCCCACCCCAGAGCCTGCACTCCCAGCCGGAGCCCTCACATGCCCCCCCCCCGCACCTCTGCCCTAGCCCTGAGCCCCCTCCCACACTCCGATCCCCTCAGCCCCACTCTCGCCACACATCACCTACTTCTAGGGACAAGTAGAGGATCCCCATATTGGTGCACATAACCAAATTCATTCTGCACATGGACGTAAAAAATTAGAGGAAACACTGCCTACAACAGTACCTGTTCTCACTTTCAGGTGACATTGTAAATAAGAAGGAGGGTAGCATTATCTCATGTAAATGCAAACAAACTTGTTTGAGTGATTGGCTGAACAAGAAGTAGGACTGAGTGGACTTGTATGAGGTGAATCGAAAAATATTTGTATTCTGTGTTGTAATTAAAAATGTAGGAAAAACATCCAAAAATATTTATAATAAATTTAAATTGGCATTCTATTATTGTTTAACAGTGCGATTAAAACTGCAATTAATCGTGACCTTTTTAACCTAGTTATTTTGTTTTGCGTTAATTGCATGCATTAACTGCGATTACTTTACAGCCCTAATTTTAATATGAAATGGGATATTTTTCCCCGATAATGTATAAAGGAACATTATAAACATTATTATTATTATTACAGCTATATATATATATAGTATAAGTATTAAATCTGCTTTCATCATTTTTATGTATGAAATGTCCTTTCATTATCATTGAATACATCCTGTAAGTTTGTTTTTAAAATGCTGGAAATATGCCAAGAGACTGGAATAGACTTGGCTTATAAATAGAAGTTAAACCTATAGCCTAAATTTTCATAAAGTGATTAGTGATTTTGGATGGCTCGATTTAGAACTAGGGTCAAGGGTTAAGTAACTCAAGCTGGGTTCTCAAAAATTGAGCCATTCAAAATCATTAGTCACTTATGAAAAGTTGAACCTGCAAGCCTTTACCTTTTAATCTCTAGTGTTAGGCCTTGTTGATCTTGCAATCAGATTCAGTAGAGCAGACCCTTGTGCCATGGAGTTGCACATGGAAAGTGCTTTTCCAAAGACGCCTAGTTGTAGGACTGGGGGCTCTGGAAACTAAACAAACTTATGGGTCATACACTAACTGAAAATAGTGGAATCTGATTATATTTAATACTTACACAATTCACTTCAGTCAGAGATCTCAAAGAGCTTTACAAAGATGCATAGATCCATCACCATTTTGCAGATGAGGAAACTGAAGAACCAAGAGGGTAAACTTATTTGCCCAACATCACACAGCAAGAAAATGGGAGAGCTGGAAGAAGATCTGAGTTCTCCTGACTACCTGTTTGGTGCCCTATTGAGTTACTTCAAGACAGGTCTTAGTGAAAGTGAAGCCTACATGATGTAGGAATCCCACCTGTATACTACACAGCAAAAATTGATGATACAGGTTAGCAAGGCTATTATCCATTCTATAGATCTCTAAAAAGTGGGGAATGACTTAATAGCAACTTCTGTCTGGAAAATGTCTGTTTTATGCCAGTGTTCTGCAGAAGCAATACAGTTTTTATGGCACAATAAAGTCCTTAACGGAAGTTAAGCTGTACCAAAGAATACAGCAGCACAACTTCTATTTTACCATCAAAAGGAAATGGATATAAGGGGCTTGGACTTGTCCTCAGACTGACAAATTAATTACTGAAACTGCAACAGACTCCAACACGAGGAAAGGTCAAACGTGTACATTACTGCCCCTCGCCAGGCTGAACGAACTGATTGTAGCAGGCCTGAGCTTGAATACAGCGCACATAAAGGGATCCTAATGTTTGTGGTGTTCTTGCGGATCAGCACTCCAATGCAACGCAAAGCACTTGTAGGCTCATTATGATGGCTTCATTCATTGGATCTGAATCCAAATAGTAAGTTTCCACTTTGTACCATACATATGGAGTGACTTGATCTTTTGCTGGGAGGGCAGACTATTTTATCTTGTTTTGTTTTTGTCTCTCTCATATTCTCTTTATTCAATTTTGTGGCAAACTTGTGAGTATGGAAAGCTTTCCATAGCTTGTATGAGAAAGATTTGGCAATGGGGAGATGAGATGACGGAACGTGTAGGATTTCTGTACTAGTTCAGAGCAAGGGGCCATTGTAAATCCTGACACCCATCTTTCTTCAGTCTCTTGTGTACAAAGAGTGCCTTTTACCCATATATGTGTTGTGTTATATGTAATGAGTATTGCCCTGGAGTCCAATGTATACCTATCTCCTAGATCTGGATATAACCATATTGTCATGGAATCTAAGTGCTGTGCAAATACTCAAGTCTGTATTATCATTAAAATAAATCTTTCATCTTTTTAGATTCTTAGCAAATATTTTAGCTATAAATACATGCAAAATTAAACTTATTCAGAGTATGTAAGAATAAAGAACTAGCTTTTAAAAAAAAATCCACTCATTCAATTGTCAACATCTATCAAACTAGCACAGTTCATAACCTAAACTAGCATGTCAATGGACTACTTATATGGACAGGTTTGCAGGATCAGCAGTGGTCTAAGCCAGTGTTCAGCATGAATAAGGGTTGCAAAATCAGGTTCAAAACAAGGAAATCCCAACCAAAAATGGAGATATAAAGTCAAACAAGGAGCAATATGTAAACACATTTTTTTTAAAAAGTCTCATTTTAAAGCCAGGGGAGTTGCTTAGCTGAAGCTGTTGAAAATTGTAATAAAGATTTATTTTACATATCAAATTTCCTGCTAACTCTATTATTTAACTTCCATTCCAGCTCCTGAACATGCTGCTTTGAGGAGAACAGACTATGCTTTTGAGGTAGATTTAATAAATAAGTTTATTTCCGTTTAGAGAGAAGATTTAGTATGTTATATAACTTTAAGTATGGCCTTTTAAAAAAGATATTTTAATTATTAAAAAAGTATATTCACAATTGAAGAAATTGTTCTGTGTAGTTATTTTTTCTAACAGAACTATTCTTTAATTTTTTTTTGTAGATGGCCGTGTCAAATATCAGATACGGAGAAGGCGTTACTAAAGAAGTAGGCATGGTAAGCTCTTATCTGGTACATCTTTCATCTATGAAATGTTACTTACCAGCAACTGACATTAATTTTAGCTGTATTACAGAAATGTTTGTATCATACATCAAGTTTAAGAGACTTAAGGCTAAATATCCTGTATATGGAATGAAAATATACTTTTTTTGTAACACAAATAGCTATAATGTGAGTTACACATGCTAATATGTAGTAGTAAATACAAGTTTGGTGGTATCATTAATTATTATTTGTCTTGCTGTAGCGCCTAGATAATGGTGTTGAAACTTTCATTCTAAACCATTATACTCTGTTCTTCATTATTAAAAAGAAAAAAACATTTTTGGGCTGAAAATTCCCAGTCTTCATTCAGCCTGAGTGAAATTTTGGAAACCTTTTAAAACCAATAAATAGGAGATTTTAAAATATTTCTGAGCTTTTCAGACCTAGAGAAAAATATATTTTTAATATAAAAAATGTAGTACATTCATTTCTCCGGTTAGGTATTTATGAAGCTATTTGAATATACAATGTGCCTGTGAAAAAGGAACCTAAAGGTAAAGACCTTGAGACCATACTAAGTGTGTATACCCTCTATAGTGTATGGAGTCCCTGCTCAGGGTAAGCCTGCTGAATACACTTTCCCTACAACAATTCTCTTGAACTTTTCAGTTTGCAACCTGCAGAAGATTTTACATAATCTTAAAGTTAATGGTGTGTCAAACTCAAATAATAAAAGATGTATAAACACATTGTGGATGGGATCAATGATGGGAATTGGTATCAGCTGCACTTGCAGGGACAGGGGATAGATGTTGGAAACAGGACAACAAGAGTACTGTCAGTGACGGAAAAAGCCAGATTCACCTGTAGCACAGTATGTAGCCCTGCCTTTCCTTTTAGATACAGAGCAACATTTCTATTTGCCCCAGATTAGATTCCTTAAAAATAAGAATTAGGATTAGGGCTCTGTTATGCTAGGTGTAGTATATACTTGTAGTGAGAGAGACATTCCCTACTCCAAAAAGTTTAGAGTCTAATAGAGAAGACAGACACAGTGGTGGAAAAAGGAAGTGATACCAAGTGGTTTTATAGATGAAAAACCAAGGCTTAGATATAATGGGCCTGATTCTTTGTTGCCTTGCACCACATACAGTCATTTGCACTAGTGCAAAATGGTTGTAAAAATACCATCAAATCAGAATAGTAGCATTTTACATCAACTTTGCACTGGTTGTCAGGCAATTGAATTGACTTGCCCAGTGTCACACAGGAAGTCTCGACAAGAGACTGAGAATTAACTCAGGTCTCCTGAATCCCATCTCAGCCTTAACTTCAAGACCTCAGTCACTTAAGACCTAAGCTGATGTTCATGGAAGTGAATGGGAGACTTTCCATTCACTTTATTGGACGTTGGTTGAGGCCCTTAATTTTTGTTCACCTTGAGCTCTGATCCTGTGCCATTGAAGTCAGGGCTCCCCACCCCCAGCCTTGCTATCAAAGGTGTAGGATGAGTCAAGTATCATGATTAACTTCTTGTGTTTTGCACCGTCTTTGTTATCAGGTTCTGCAGTTATTACCCCCTTCTTGGCACTTATGCATTGCCAGTTTTAATTTCAATGTAAACATTGTAAATGAAATTGTTTTGTACGTAGCAAGAATAACGGTTAAATATAGCTGCTGTCATTGGACAATAGTATTGAGGACTGAATACCAGGATCACTAAAAACTTCAGAATTTATGTAGATAGAATTCTATAGCAATAATTGTTGTAGTAAAGGGTGATCTGGTATTCTATCTTCACATTCTTTCCAAACACTTATTTTTTTAGAAAAAAATATTTTTAAAAATTGCATACAGTGAGCTATATTTTATCAATGCAGTGTTAAATTTTTCGGATTTTAATTTTGCAGAATTAAGGAAAGTCAAGCGTTTGTCTTCATAGCAACCTTAACTTGGCCCCCTGGCAAGTATGTGTTGTAATAGGATCTTCAAATATATTATTGCACAATGCTGAGCAATGTGCCATACTTCTTCACTAATGCTGCAATGCAAAGTTACTGCCATATAGGAGACCTAGTTTCAATTCATAGACCCAGATGATATAGTCCACTTCATTCACATTATGTCAGAAAAATCAGCTTTTACAGTTAGGTACGTACTCCTCTTATTCTGGGCTTTAGTACTTGGTTTATAGGCATTCTTTGAAAATCTAGGCTAGATAAATTCTCTAGTATTGCCCTCTTAGATTTCCTGGGCTCTGTAAATAAATGCAATTGTAAAATACTTTTTGAAATCTAAGATGCATTTTTTTTCTATAAACTTGACTACCACCTATGTGGCTTTGGCTTGCTGTCTATTCACTCATGGGGGCAGCTACTAGTGTACTTCCAGTATCTTGCATGTGTCCTCAATTCTACATGCTTGAGTTATGTTTTAAACTACACCTTTTTCTATAAGCCTATATGCATATGTGAAACATTTTATTTTACTGTATCGATGTTATATACATTTGTGATGAAAGACCTTATTGCAAATTTTAGTATTTTGTATCAAATAATTCAGTTTAATTGGATTGCAATTTAAATATTGTAGTTTAAGATTTCAGACTTTGTTTTTTAATTGATATTGTAGGATCTGCAGAATCTGGGTGCTAGAAAAGTTTGTGTGATGACAGATAAGAACCTCTGCCAGCTCCCTCCAGTAAAAGCAGTATTGAATTCCTTGACAAAACATAGAATCACTTTTCAAATGTATGATGATGTCCGGGTGGAGCCAACGGATCAGAGGTACTGTTTCTTTTATATGCTTCCGAAAACTTATATTCTCAGAATATCTATTTAGGCTCTTATACCCATCACTATAGTATCTTTTGGTGCATCAGTATTGCAAAAAAGAACCCGCAGCAGTGAGTCTCAGAGCCAAGGTGAACTGACAGAAGCTCATGGGTTTCATGCTGCAGGGCTAAAAATAGCAGTGTAGACATTCGGGCTGGAGCCCGGGCTCTGAAACCTGTGGAGAAGGGAGGGTCTCGGAGCCTGGGCTCTGAGACTTGCTGCTGCTGCATTTTTTTTTTCTTCCGTGTATACATAACCTATAGTGCCTCTGATTTGTCAATGACACGTACATTGATCTTAAGAACATAAGAATGGCCATACTGGGTCAGACCAAAGGTCCATCCAGCCCAGTATCCTGTCTGCTGACAGTGGCCAATGCCAGGTGCCTCAGAGGGAGTGAACCTAACAGGTAATGATCAAGTGATCTCTCTCCTGCCATCGATCTCCACCCTCTGACAAACGGGCTAGCGACACCATTTCTTACCCATCCTGGCCAGTAGCCATTAATGGACTTAACCTCCATGAATTGATCCAGTTCTCTTTTAAACCTTGTTATAGTCCTAGCCTTCACAACCTCCTCAGGCAAGGAGTTCCACAGGTTGACTGTGTGCTGTGTGAAGAATTTCCTTTTATTTATTTTAAACCTGTGACCCATTAATTTTATTTGGTGGCCCCTAGTTCATATATTATGGGAACAAGTAAATAACTTTTCCTTATTCACTTTCTCCATACCACTCATGATTTTATATACCTCTATCATATCCCCTCCCTTAGTCTCCTCTTTTCCAAGCTGAAAAGTCCTAGCCTCTTTAATCTCTCCTCATATGGGACCCGTTCCAAACCCCTAATCATTTTAGTTGCCCTTTTTTGAACCTTTTCTAATGCCAGTATATCTTTTTTGAAATGAGGGGACCACATCTGTACGCAGTATTCAAGATGTGGGCGTACCATGGATTTATATAAGGGCAATAAGATATTCTCCATCTTATTCTCTATCCCTTTTTTTAATGATTCCTAAAATCCTGTTTGCTTTTTTGACTGCCGCTGCACACTGCATGGATGTCTTCCGAGAACTATCCGCGATGACTCCAAGATCTTTCTCCTGATTAGTTGTAGCTAAATTAGCCCCCATCATATTGTATGTATAGCTGGGGTTATTTTTTCCAATGTGCATTACTTTACATTTATCCACATTAAATTTCATTTGCCATTTTGTTGCCCAATCACCGTGAATCTTAACACATAGCTTAACAGTAAAGTTTGCAAATTGCATGATTAATGACAAAATCTTCTCTTCCTTCTAAGTTTCATGGATGCCATCACATTTGCTAAAAAGGGAGAGTTTGATGCCTATGTTGCCGTGGGCGGTGGTTCTGTAATAGACACTTGTAAAGCTGCCAACCTGTATGCATCCAGTCCTGAATCAGATTTCTTAGATTACGTCAATGCTCCCATTGGAAATGGAAAGTCTGTTACTGTGCCTCTCAAGCCATTCATTGCAGGTAAAGAAGCAGAAGTGTAGTGTTTTTGTTTTTCTTCCTTCAAGGCTCTGTGTAAGTTCTTCCTCTTGAAATAAGTTTACCTTTGACCTTTTAACCCTCCCCTTGGGCCTGCTTCTGCTCTAGTTGAATTCAATTGAAGTTTGATTTAAGTGGGAATGGGATCTTGTTCTTCGTCACCAGCTGCTCTTCTTTGAGTTAAGTTATTTTACTCCTCTGGGGGGGTCAGAGGATAAAATGACTACTTCTGTCTGATCCATTGGACCTAGATCTATTAACTGGTTCTGATATACGATACCAAAGTACATCATGATGGGAGCTATATAAGTATAAAATACTCTGATCTGTACATCCCACTATTAACTATATAATCCTTATGCTATAAGGAATGCATTTTATTGCTTATGTAATTGGACGGTGTTTTCTTTCCTTTTTCGATCACTGTTTTTTTAATGGTACAGTATATCAGAATTTTATTAGCATTGACCTACCTAGTCCCAAATACGATAACTGGCGATACATTTATCTAACCAGTTAATTATCTATTATATCCAGATTTTAGGGCTTGATCCAAAGCCCATTCAAGTTATGGAAGAACTCTCGTTGACTTTAATGGGCTTTGAATCCGCTCTTAGTAATTTACGCATTTCTTTGTTCATACCACCTTTATTATCTTCCATTTAAAACAGCTCTCCCTTTCTTTCACACTTATAAAACCATGTACAATTGATCCCACGAGGTGGATGATTAACAAAGAATGATGATTACTAAAGTTTAAAAGCTGCTTTGATATAGAACCCAAGGCAGATTAAGCCCAAATCATCATTGTTCCAGCTTCCAAATGCAAAGAGAGCTGCTTTTATTAACAAAATGTGCATTTGCTTCCGCCAATGATGAATACAGCCTGGTTTAAGGTTGGATGCGCAGCAGCAGATGTTAATGGTCATTTAAAAGGTCAGCAGCATCCTTTGTCTTGCTATGCCTTTGTACAGTACATAGCACTATGGGGCCACAATAGTCTTTATGGCTTTGGGTGTTACCACATTACAAATATGTAATAATCCTGGACTTGTGCCTATGCTAGAAAAGCCATTTCTAAAGTTGATAAAAGAATGCTGTGCTATTCTTTATATAACGTGCTTTGTTTTATGCTAAGTTTAAACTTAAAATACTACCTTCGAGTGCATGTTCCTACTCCTGGGATGCGCCCATTGGGCTATCAGCTGCACTGTCAGCAAATCCAAAGAGTGTGACTGTGCAGAGTCCATCTCCAAGAACTCTGCTGACAGGTGAGTAACGTTTATTCTTTTGTTGCATTATTACAATTGTCTGTTCTTCTTTTTAAGTTCCCACAACAGCTGGAACTGGAAGTGAAACCACTGGCATTGCCATTTTTGACTACAAAGAACTAAAAGTAAAAACTGGTAAGACTTTTTGTCTATTACTTATCTAGATTCTTTTCCAAACTTGCATCATTTTCCTCTGCTATAAGATAAAGAAACACCTTCTGCAATTTCAGCTCTCATGTCACTGTATTCAACAGCTACAGACAAATCTCAGCAGATTAAAGCTTTCTCTCTTGAATGAAATTTTAAAGCATGTTAGCAATGAAATGCGCATTATAATGCAGCAGATCGTGATTTGAAGGCATAATGGGAAAGTAAAATCTTTAAAGTGAAACATGTTAAGTGCACAGGACATTTCTGCTTATATTTGGGTTCAGCCAACTGTTCCTTATTTCTTTTCTCTTTTTTTTTTTTTTTTTGGTCTTTCTGTTTTTAAGACCCTCTAGTTCTTTGTTTGTATAATTGGGTCCAAATGTTTGTTTTCCTGACTTCTCTGGACCTATGCCTGCAAAAGAAAGGAACACTGTCTATTCCTTTGACCTTTTCATCCCTGGAAATAGGATTAAGGCTAAAATGTCATCTTTAAACTTTATAGTTTTTCTTAGAGACTAACCAATTTATTTGAGCATAAGCTTTCGTGAGCTACAGCTCACTTCATCGGATGCATACTGTGGAAAGTGTAGAAGATCTTATTATATACACACAAAGCATGAAAAAGCTCACGAAAGCTTATGCTCAAATAAATTGGTTAGTCTCTAAGGTGCCACAAGTTCTCCTTTTCTTTTTGCGAATACAGACTAACACGGCTGTTACTCTGAAACCTGTCATAGTTTTTCTGAGGTTTTGCAGTGGTCTTTTAACATTGGGTGGCTTTTATGTACCATGTGTGCTGCAATATATATGGGGCCCAACAGGGCAGATTAAGGAGTTTTAACTCAGATTAGTTGTGATTTCAATCAGTCTAAAGCATGTAAGTATTATTATTAGCATGTCTAAAGAGCCATCACCAAAGTATCAAGACACAGATACCAAATACAGCAAAACATCAATTCGTTCTAGAAAATGAACCAAATATTCCTTCTGCTTGTCTGATGGCTGCTTACTTGTGAGCAGTTAAGTTAAAGATCGGTGTGATTCCATAATCACTTTGACAGTGCAGCTGCTGGGGCATTATGGAGGGTTTCCAGCTGAGAGGCAAAGGGTTGCCCCAGGGAATTCAGTCCAGGCAAGAGTCACCTCTCATGCACGCTCTATGCGGCAGGAAACATTCTAGTCTCCTGTATAGCAGACCCCTTCAGCTCACAGAAAAACTGAGTTTCCAGTTGATAACCATCCTGTGCCCTCAGATTTTTATTTGTGCATGCAAAGTCAGCTGGATTGGGGGTGGGGGGGAGGGGGCTTGTAACTCTGAACAAAGCCAATAAATGAGATACATCAGAAATAAAGGCAAAGTTTCCACATTAGCTGGGGAAGGTAAAGGGGTTCTAATAAGCAGATTGTCAAAGATTGGGATGTAGGTGGTCAGGTCCAGTGGTCAGAGTCTGAATTGGGAGCCAGGGGTTGGAGCTGAAGACAGTCAGGAGTCTGGCCAAGGGTCGGAGTCATTACTTGTGGGTGGGGCCCAGAAGCAGAGATCTGGAAAAAGGCAGGAGGGCAGGATTCAGGTGGGAGGGCAGGGTCCAATGTAGCAGCCAGCCAGGGATTCACTTAGTTGCTCAGACAACATCTTGGACCTCCTTCTGGATTAAATAGTGAGTTTGAGCCAATCATAAAGGACAGATGTCTCCTCCACTTGGGTCCACCAGCCCACATTCCCCTCTGGTACCAGTGAGCTGCTGGGTGTTGGCTGCGGACCCAGGTTCGAGACCTGCAATCCCTGTATAGGTGTGCAGAAACTATTGGTAAATCAGCATCTGAATTATTTTCCACTAAGTCTGATTCCTTCCAAACTAAAGTCAATTTCTGTTTCTACTGGTTGACAGTCTCCTCCTTTTCCTATGCTGGGATGGAAAAATGGATCACTGTAGGGCTGAGCAGATCATTCAATTTCTGTGCCCATTCAGTCTTTGTATTTTCACCCTTTCTGCTGAGTCTGCCATTGAGGGGTCCCATTTTTGTGATGTAGAAACCTGGGACAAGATGAAGAGCATAAGCTCATTTCACTTGAGGGCCCTGATCAGCCAGCATTTAGTAACACCCTTCAGCAACCAACCTTCCTAGGATGGATTTGAATAGTTTAGATGTGAAAAACCTATCCCATTACCTGCATGATTCACTCCCCCAGAAATATTGTCTTTAAGACTGACAAAGTGAATATTTTTGCAGAATCTTGGTCAGTTTTCTCAATAGAATTTGGAGGAATATGCATTTCAGGCTCTCCCTTTCCTTCTCTCTTATCTTTAATGGCAATCATGTGTTTTGAGACTATAACTTTTCTTTTACAATTTGAGGATTAAGGCTTTCTCTTTTCTTTGTTGTTTATTGACAACAATCCTTTTTATTAACACAGTTTTATAATTCACATGTTCTAGGCATTGCTTCTAGAGCCATTAAGCCCACATTGGGTATGATTGATCCTTTGCATACGCTCCATATGCCAGAGCGAGTAGTAGCCAACAGTGGCTTTGATGTGCTTTGGTAAGTAGTCTATGTGGGGTGCTGGATTGGGGGGGGGTCATTTTAACTTAGAAAAACAAATATTTTAGAGGGAGAAAAACACCATTTTCCCTGAAGTGTCCATTTTCAGTCTGTCTCAATCCCACCTTCCTATTTCTTCAATGCACCATTCCCTTCGGTCCTTCTGACCCCTTTTGAAACAAATCAAAGTGCCTCACTCAATTTAAATGTACATTGGATGCATGGGCCGAAATACCAACTATCAGAAGCGTGAATCCTTGAGGCCAGCTATGAAGGTTTAAATGCTTTGCTGGAGCGGACACAACACATGGCAAACCTAATTTAGGCTGTCTGACAGTCATCGGCTTCTCATGAGCAGAGACTAGAATAGCAGGGACTTTAGAGGTCAGGACTGAAGCACATTGACAAAGCTTTTTGTGAAAGTCTGTGAGGTGCAGAGCGCTGCAGAGAAGATCTCAGTCTTCCTCAACTCACAAAACTGGCCCAGTTTGCATTATAGCTGCTCCAAACCAGTGCTTTTAGTACATTGCTTAGCACAAAAAATCCTTCAAAGTTTTGAAAGTCACATTGAAACAATCATAGATTAAGGATTTTAACTGCATAAGATATGCAGAAGATTGGATTCATTGATACGGCTGCTTGTTTATGCAGAGACACCTTCAGGAGATAGCAGATGTTAAAATAGGATGACAAATGTATTGAAAGTTGTATTTGTTGTATTTCTCAAACTATTCGCTGACTCTAGTGTATGGAAAAATTCATTATTTTTAATGGAGTTTAGTTATTTTTAAGTTCTAAATGGGTTGGCTACGCTTTTCTATTGGTTAAAAATGTAAATAATTCTTACATTTCATGACTGCCATACCTAGGACACTTGTCCATCCAGTATTCTTGAATATCATACTTCCAGTTTTTTGAGGTCAAAACCTTTAAAAGAAGGTAGATTTTTATGTTTATAGTCCTGGAGTATTTAAATCTCTCCTGTCCTGTTAGAAGGGAATGCCCCTTTTGCATGAGCTTCATGTTGTTCAATGGAACTGAGCTTGTAAAATGCCAAATCCCTTGCAGGACAGACTGTGTATAGGAGAAAAATGGAACCCTTCCGTTTTCAAGTATTTCTTTCTTTTAGTCACGCACTAGAAGCGTACACTGCTCTTCCTTACAAGATGCGCAGTCCCTGCCCTTCAAATCCAATCAACCGGCCTGCTTACCAAGGCAGCAACCCTATCAGTGATGTCTGGGCTGTCCATGCACTGCGCATTGTGGCAAAGTATTTGAAAAGGTAATGTATGTCTAGCAACCTTTCACCTTGATGATAAGTTTGATCATGAACACCTGGCAGAAAGGATGCTGGTGAGGACCTGAGTGCTAGACTCTGAGGGTACGTCTAGACAGCAAATTAAAACCCATGGCTGGCCTGTGCCAGCTGACTCAGGATTTCAGGGTACAGGGCTGTTTCACTGCTGTGTGGACGTTTGGGCTTAGCTGGAGCCCGAGCTCTGGGACCTTGTAGGTCCCAGAGCTCGGGTTGCAGCCCAAGCCTGGAAGTCTACACAGCAATGAAACATCCCTGCAACCTACGCCCCGCAAATCCAAGTCAGCTGGCATGGGCCAGCCACGGGTTTTTCTTTGCTGTGTAGACATACCGTGAGATGAGGTGAATCACTATATTAGGACATCATTTTCTATCCTAGACCCTGACTTTGTCCTCAGCAAGGCAGAAAATGTCCAGTAAAATTGGAACTAGGTTAGATTGAGCAAAGTTGATCTTCAGGGGTGACTTTCTAAAGCAATGCATGAGGATTTAGTTGAGAATCCCCAATGTGTAGTCATAAGTTGCACAGCTAAATCCTAGAGCAATGTACCTCTGAATATTCACCTTTCCATACCAACCTTAAACAGAACACAATATAAGGTAACACATCTACTGCTATCATCTGTCTATATGGCTTTCAATATAGTGAAAGAACATTTATACAAAATACTATGTAAGTACATCAAGTAAACGTTCACCTGTGAGTGTTAAAATTATATGTTTGTTTGAAAGTAGCTCATTTAGGGTACAGCCCAAATGGAGAGGCTTTTGTTAACTTCAGTGGGAGATGAAGATCTAGTCCGTGAGTAACTTTCAGCTGTTCGGTGTTTTATAAAAGGCTTTTATAGTACATAGTTATCCGGATATCCTATTTATTATACCTTTAGGGTGGAAGTTGCCCTTGAGTCCCTCTGCCCCCCGCCCAGGGACGTGGTGCCGGCCACTTCTGAGAACAGCACGGGACCTGCAGCACCACCGAGGGCAGTCCCGCAGGCCGGATCCAAAGCCCTGAGGGGCCGGACCCATCCTGCGGGCCATAGTTTGCCCACCCCTGTTCTATCTGATTCTTTTCCCAGCAATTTTTCCATTTTTATTTTAGTTCAGATTGTATTACTCACCCCCCAAATAAGCGTTTTCACCTCTCTCCTGAGTGTGTCAATGCAGCTGTGGATTTCTTAGTGCTCAATGTTTGTGCACAGAGCTGTCAGAATGCCAGGTGATCATGAAGCAAGGGCTAACATGCACCTAGCAAGTGCTTTTGCTGGCATCGGCTTTGGAAATGCTGGTGTTCATCTTTGGTGAGTAGAGGATGTGTGTCAGCCCCTTTCTAAAACCCTGTTTCTTTAGTGTTTGTTTCAAATTGCCAAGGAATCTTTCAGACAAGTAGTCCCTGATCTAGTGATGTGATAAGATACTTTGGGCCAGATTGTTGTACCCTCTTTCATGTGAAAGAGTCCCTTATGTCATGAGTAATCCTACTGAAGTTGATGGGACCCTTTGTGGAGTATGGTACTTCTTGCTGTTCATAAGGATAACACAGTCCGGTCTTATGAAAGTTTCTAGAACCAAAATTTGGCCTACTTTACCTTGCTTGTAGGCACAGGTTGCATAATATTTTTTCTTTAAAAATAAATAAAAAATAAAAAAAATCAAATGTCAGTGTCCACTCTTCTAAAAATAAATAACACGTTTAACTCTCTGTGGAGCCCTGTACTCAGCACCAATAACACCTATAACACCAAGCTAGTGAACATACCCAGAGGAAAGATCTTCTGCCTTTCCTGAATCAAGGCCACATGCAATAAAACTTGTTCCTGGGTTAATTGTTTCTCAGGCTAAAATGAGCTATAATTAACATTTTTGTGGATTAAGTGATGCCCATTGAAATAAGCTAATGACTGTCGCATCTTCAGTTCAGTAAAGTACAGATTAATGTTCCCATTGAGCTCAGTGGCACTACTCCTATGCTCATCGTGTGCTCAATGTGTTGAATCAAGGCCTAGGCCCAAAATTCTTTGAAAAATCATTGCAACTTATAAATATTCATCTATTCCAGACTCGTCTCTGCACTCCTTTGGTTTGATCACTTAAAATCCCCTTTGTAAATAAACCTCCAAAACTTTCCCTTAAGCACTGTTAGCATGATAAGAAACTCCCAGATTTTGATAGTAAGGTGAAGAATGTCTGAGGTACTTTGGGCCAACCCCATTACCCCAGTATCTGAACACTTCACAGTCTTTTAATGTGTGAGATAGAGAAGTGCTGTGATCTCCTGTTTATAGATAAGGACCTGAGGCACAGAGCAACTAAGGGCAAGATTTTTTGAAGTGTTCCCATTGGCTTCAGAGGGACTTAGGCTCCTAAATACATTTAAAAATCTGCCCCTCAGTGACTTGGTCAAGGTCACCCTGGAAGTGTTACAGAGCAAGAAATTGAACGGAGGTCTCCCAGATCCCAGGCTAGTTCCCTGACCACTTCCTTTCTTCTCCAGCCATGGAATGTCTTACCCTATTTCTGGCTTGGTGAAGAGTTACAAAGCAAAGGATTATAATGTTGATCATCCTCTGGTGGTAAGAACTGATTATTTTCATTTTCCTACAGTTATTCCTCGCTCTTGTACTTATCTTACATTATCAAGCTTTAAATTGCCTTGGCCTAACAAACTTATTGTAGCAGCAGTGAGAAGTCTAGTTAATGTGTACTGTGTTTTGTCTTTCTCCAGCCACATGGTCTTTCTGTGGTACTCACCTCCCCAGCAGTATTTACTTTCACAGCAGAGATGTGCCCTGAACGGCACTTGGAGGCTGCAGAGATACTGGGTATGAATCTCTCTTCATAAAACCTACTGGTACAACCTACTGCTACCATGGTCCTAATGGGGGCCATAAACTCTACTGCTACCAGGGTCCCAATGGGGGCCATAAACTCTACTGCTACCAGGGTCCCAATGGGGACCAGCTATGTCCATTCAATTAGGGTGAACTGCAAAGAATAGGACAGCCAAACCCCAAAAAGCTGGTGTATATTCCAATACTTAGATTTACCAAACCAGCATAAAACAGCTTCTTTATTACCTTACTGGTTACTCAGAAGTCCAAACAACATAGTTCCCTTAAAGTGATCCAGCCTGAGGCTTCCCAACAAGGTACCTAAGTCAAATATGATGAAGATTCCTGAACATCTTATTTCATCATATAAAAGAAAAGGAACGTACACATTTAAGTACACTTACATCTGCATTTGCTAAAAGGAAGTGATTTATAAAACAAATAAAATTAAACACTTGCAAGCAGGAAACGTTGAAAGAGGAAATATTTTCTTACACAGTGGATAATTAACTTGTACGACTCATTGCCACAAAATATCCAGAGACTAAGAGCTTGGTAGGTTTCAAGAAAAGATTAGCCCTTTAGATGGATTGGGAGAATGTCTATACTTACTTTAAAAAGGATATATACAACATTAGAAGGGATTTAGACCCTTCTGCTTCAGAACATATGCCACCCATTGACTCGTGGAGTTAGAAAGAAACTTCCCCTATTGACAGATGATTCTGTAATTGCTGGATATGGGGTTTCTTGCACCTTCCTCCAAAGCAATTGTTGTTGGCCACACTCAGAGATACTGGACTAGATGGACAAATTGTCTGATTACCTATTGCAATTCCTACATCCCTATAAGAAGCCCTTCAATAGTAACCTCTAACTCAAATGGTAATACTCTGAATGACACATTGGCTGAGAAAATACTAAAAATATGTATGCTAGATGGCCAGCCCAGAGTATCTGGAGAATTAAAACTTTGGTTCCTTTATTTTAAGGCTAACTAGTCAAACAGCATCTCCTCTAGTTTTGCTGTATAAGTTGCTGCCAAAAAGCATTGCAATTCTTAGTTACATTTGACTTCCTCAATAGAAATTCAATTGGTTACTGTCTGCTTTGCTGTTATATAAAAGGATTCTGTATAAAATGTATCAAGTGTGTATAAATTAACTCATCTTGGGTATTTACTTTGAGACCATAATTCAGTGTCCAAGTGACTGCAGTAGCTGCTTCAAATACTTTAGGTTGTCAAACACTATGCCTTGCGGTAAAGTAGTAACAAACGGCTATGTTTATGTATATGTACAACTGCAGATTTGAGTACAGCCAAATAAAAGCTTAAGGCCTCTCCTAATGGAAAAAGGGATGTGTGGCCGTAGATTTATTGCAGTAAAGGAAATATAAGTGCAGCCCGAAGAGTGATGCATTCTTTAGGTTAGCAGAAGGCCAGTCACTGGAACAATAATAAGTTTTTCATCACTTTTTAGTCTGGCTTTTCAGACCACCTCTTCCTTTCCTCATTCTTTTCTTTCCTTTCCTCCTCTTTTGCTACTATCAGATCATTCCCTGAAGCTCTTATATTCTAACTGCCCTTTATACTGCAACACAGAGAATGGACATTGACTGCGTGGCAGTCATTCCATCAGCATGAAACTTCATACGAGACTCCCTCATGCTTTGTCACCTAATCTCTTCTAGCTGCTGCCATCTTGCTACTTGATACCAAACATCTAAGCCCCCTGAAATGAGTTTGTTGTCCTCCCATTAACTTTAAACTGTTTTGACAGTTGCACTGAGTTCTTAGAAAACCAGAGTGTTTTTTCTTGTAGTTGTTTCACATTTATTCATTTTTCAGTAAACTGCATGAGACAAGTTCAGTTCTGGTGGAATGAATTTGGCCCAATTGGTTAAAAATAAAACTTGGGGTGTTTTTCTTGCCTTTATGCATGTACATATTTCCCATTTCTAATGGAGCTATGGACACACAGGGAGGGAGGATGAATAGCCCTTTATATAAGAAACTTCTGTAGCTTTTCCATAAAAGCTGACTTTCACCTCCTTTCCACAGCGTTCCTAGGACTATAATTCCTCATCTTCTATCTAATCTACCTATTTATTCTAATCTATATTATTATATCATACTAACCAATATATAATGCAAGCACCTGAGCTCCACCCATAGAGGGCCCCACACATGCACTTGTCCACTGTTTGAATGCTTGTCAACATAAAATTGAGAAGGGGAAGGGAATCATTAGTCACTGGTTTGCACATCCTCTAGATGTCAGCAAACTCAAGGCTTTGAAAAAATTAGCCTATGGCACTTTGTCCCTAAAAATAAATATTATGGCTATCCACAGACATTGATCTGCTTTAACTTCCTTTCCACCACTGCTTCCAGCAATTAGTCTGACTGAAAAGTGCTTTTCCAGGCAAGCACAGTGGGGAAGGAAGTTAACTTGACATGGCAGTTAGTCTTTCTAGCAGCAGTGAATTTACCTCTCCTGATTTTGTTTTATTTCATCTCTACAAACTAGTCTAACTGAAAAATGAAGATCGAGATTCCCCTTTTTTATTTGGGGTTGCCTTTAGCAAGTAGGCTGTTATGTGTGGATATATGCCGCTGCTATTATGATTACATTAAATCCAGAACAGCTTCCTCCTCTCTCTCTCTCTCTCTCCACTCTACAGTCAAGGCTTTGTCTTATTTTAGGAGCTGACATCCGCACTGCCAAAATCAAAGATGCTGGGCTTATTTTGGCAGACACACTCCGGAAATTCTTATTTGATCTGAATGTTGATGATGGCTTAGCTGCAATTGGTTATTCTAAAGCAGATATCCCTGCTTTAGTCAGAGGCACTCTCCCTCAGGTAAGACAGAAAGCACAGGCGATTTTTCTTAAAAAGCAAACTTTTAAAATATTTTCTTTTAAAATAAATGTTTCTTTTAGCAGTTTTAAATGGAGAGAATGCTAGATAAAGTCAGTTCTCTTTTCCTAGTACAGTTTGGGTTTTTCCTTGCAGTGAGATAGTGTATATGTTGTTTGGCCTTCATCTGTCATCCATTCATCTTCAAAAGGAAAGGCTAATTATTAGAGCTGGTCAAATCTTCCAACATGCACATTTTTTCAGGTGGGAAAAGGAACATGTTTTTGCAGGGGGTTTTTTGTGAAAAATGTTCCCATTTTTTCATCTAGCTGTACTAATTATACAGGCAGGTAAGGTTCCATCTGATGCTTTTGTAAGACTGCTATGTGCTAAGAATGATTAAACTTGCTTTGCATTAGGTTTTCCCTACCAAGGAGTTTCAGTACTCTTCTAGATGGCTTTGTTCCACTGCCCTCCATCTGAATTTGAACTAATGTCTTCCTTCAATGAAACAACATACACTTGTAATACCCTTTACGTTTTTATACTCTCAAACATTTCAAAGATGAACTGAAATTAGAGGAAAATTCATTAATCTCCAAGTAAATGAGAAAATATTAAGGTTTGTCATGCTGAAAAAAATTTAAAATTTTCACTTTTTTTATAACCTCTATAAACCTCAAAGCATGTTACAAAAGAAGATATCCTCATTCCCGTTTTACAGGAAGGGAAGTGACTTGATCAAGGTGTCACACTGATTAGTGGCAACATTTGCAATAAAACCGAGGTCTCTTGCTCCCAATCTGATGCTTTACCAAATGTGTGCGACAGGACTTTTTGACAGTTTTTGTTGATAAATATGTTGGTCCTCTTAATAATCTGTAAAAAGTAATATTTTATAAACACAACATCCCAAAGAGGTATTTTTGTTGTTGCTTTGCTGAGGTTCACCTGTGGCTTGGGGTTTTTTCTCATCTGTAACTGATTATTAATTCAGAAGCCCAACTTAATTTACTGTCCTTTTATAACAGCAGTAATTAGTGATTGCATGTATAATGAGGCGAGCTAGTGTGTTTTCAAACCCTGATTTAGTATATAAAGTATAATGTAGTCCAAATTCATTTGCTGCTGCCTGTGTAATACGTTACCCACAAGCGGATTTCAAACAGTCAACTCTTTGATATTTTTTCTTTTGATCCAGCCATCAGTTTTTTTTGGAACACCAACACCACCTATTAATATTTGCAAAACACCCTGGTGCAGATTGAGACCACAAATAAACAAACACTGCCAAGTGTACTACCATCATAAAATGCATGCTGTAGAGAAATAAAATGAACAGATTTTAGTCAGCCAGTTTGGAGGTTTGAAACCTCCAAAGCATAAATGTTTACACTTGAAATAATCTGTTGAAAATGATCCTGCTTACAACACAGTAAGGAAATCTGGAGAAGTTTGTTCCATGGGCCAAATAATGGCTGGTCCTTTGTGGGTGTTCTGGTTTAGGTGGTGGGTAGGGTGGATTTGAAAGGAGAGGTCAGAAAGGACCTATTCCCTAACCCCACCTCTCCTCCATGTAAACATACAAGAGGCAGCCATAATTTGGCTGCAACCATTGATGAGCACAAGGGGTGTGGATGACTATACCTGGCACCAAAATTTACCAACCAATTTACTAAGAGGCAGACCCACTGTTCCATTCTCTGTGTACTGGCCATATCACCAACGCTGTGTTAAGGGAATGCAAGCTGCATCTATTTAAAGGTATAGTAAAAGCTTCTATTCATTGCACTCTATCCAAAGCCATTGTGAACATTGTGGCCCTTTACAGTTGTCATGTCTCCAGTCATTTGCTTGGACAGGTGTTCTTAGCCCATCTGTGCGCTCCACTGACTGGCAGGAAAATTGGTCTGATGACACCACTGAGCACCTTAAATAACTATTTTTTTTTTTAGTGTTAAACTAGTTTTAAACCTTTGTAGAACCTGAGTTTTTGTCCTAAGTAATGTGAAGCCTTTTTATAAACACTGCGTGAGGCGGGTTATCTTTTTCTCTGTACTGTAGCTGTTCTCTGCATAACCTGGGAGGAAATCTCATGAAGCTGTTGAATGTGTGAGAGTAGAAATATTGATTTTAACCAGCTATCGTAATGACAGAAACTTTGTTTTTCCCACTGGCCTCTGAGTGTGTGTTTATAAATAATGTAAACTGAAATACACTTGTTAAAATAACTGATTAAAGTACAGTTGGTGATGCATTAGCCTTGTTTCTTTGATTAAATACTTGCTTTACTGGTTTGCAAAATTCTGTGCAATCTATAGTGTGGATTTCAGTCATTAATGCTGAGTAACGTGTGACATTCTACTGTATATTCAACACTGTTTATTTTGCAAAAAGCCTTATGTAATCCAATTTTACTTTAATCTTTCAGGAAAGAGTGACTAAACTATCACCTCGTCCCCAGACGGAAGAAGAGCTATCTGCCCTGTTTGAGGCATCCATGAAACTTTATTAGTTTAAATATTTTACATGTTCTTTAATGATTAAAAACTAACATGAAGGTAATTTCCCACAGACATGGTCTAAACCAGTTCAGATAAGGAAGGAACATGTACCTCTTATGCTTGTATTTTACTATCCACTACTAAAAGGTCAGATAATTCATGTTCAGTTCAACACTGTTTTGTGATTATGGGGCTGATTGTGTAATCAAAGGGGCTACTCTTGTAAAGGTTGTTGGCTCAGATCTTAAGCTTTGCAGAGGACTTTCTCTTGAGAGCTGGACAAAAAATGGAGATAATTTGTCATGGAAATTTTTTTGAAAATGTTCAGGGGATGAATTTATCTTGTATTTTAATTTTCTATGACTATTTTTGTCTAAAAAACCCTAAAACTATAAACTGTGTAGGAAAAACAGGCCACTCTTCCTCAGGCAATATTCTCAAACACAAAATTTGAACCTGCTCAATTCAGAAGGTTCACCTTATGATTTTTTTTACCTTCTCATTTAATTTGGGGCCTGATGTAAAGATCATGGGTAAAAAAAATATAACTTTTTTTAACAAGTCTGGAAAAGGCTTCCCAAAAGTTTTTTGTTTCACTATTTATTTTTAAAGTGATTTGCCAGGCATTTTTGTCTTTTCATTCAGAAGTTATGCATGAGAATAAGTTCGCTTGTTCCGACAGGGTGGCTAACTGGTTACCTGTCAACTGAGAAAGCGAACAGGCAGAAGGGGGATAAAATTCAAATGTAAGTATTAAAGTCTTTCCTGGATTTTTCATCCTCTCTTGAGCCCCTTTGGGGTAGTGAGTTTTGCTGCCTACGTAACATAGCATTTGCTGCTTCACACAGCAGTCTTATACAGAGAATATTGGAAAACAGGAACATTATTTTGAAGAGATTTTTAAAGTTGTTACTGTTATGTGGCATTTTAAATTAACCCATTTACTGGTTTTCACAAAAACTCTGATTTTAGTATTGCTATTTTAATCTATTTTATCAAACTTTTTATCAAATTTTTATTTATTGAAAGCCATGTTTTCTTACAGAAAGCAGAAAAATATCAATAATTTTGAAAACAATTTTGATAAAAATAGCAATTAAAAATGTTGCCAAAAATTTTTTCTCACAAAATAGAAAATTTTGGTACTGGTGACATTTGGCAGAAAGTTTTTCCAAAAAAGGTTAGTTTTCAAAAAAATTTTAAACAAAAAATATCAACCAGTCTAAAATGTTTCTCTGTACTAGACAGGGCTTTAATGTCCTGTCATATTCAGAGTTTGCTGCAGCAAACTCTGAAAGTTGGCACGTCTGTATCACAGAACAAAAGAAAGAACAGGAAGTTTTTTAATTGAAAATTATTCTATTAGGCACAGATTTCATTGGCATTGTACTGCAACACCGGCAGCAGTATACACAATACTCATACTGTATTCATTTAAAAACAAATTCTGATGTCTTTTAAATTCTGTTCTGGCACCAATTTCATGCAGTGGCCACAGCACAAGTTCAATGTAGGAAAAGCATAACATGCTAGTTAGTTCCTTTACTCAGTTACTTTTACTCTTTGCCTCATTATGATTCTGTTCTGCAGCCACTTCACATGCAACTCTTCCACTGAAGTAGAGGAAGGATGTCTTGTACATTTATGACTATTAATCTTGGCTCAATAAGTCTGATGCCTTCCAACCACATGTTAGGACCTTATGATGGAAGTATATTGGCTGTGGGGTTTTTAGGTCCCTTTAGTGCTCGGATGGGTAGCGATGGGAGGCTGAAGGTCCTCTGTCTTTCCACTGAATAGGTACAGCATGGGCAGTGGTTATACAGACAGATCTGCCAATATCCCTCAGCCTGTTCTGAGAAGCTAATTCATTTTCCCTGTCATTCCATATCCATTACCTCCTTCATTCTAGTGCAAATGCCAACAAGAGCTTCAATTGTGAAAGCTGGTTTCACAATATGTGGATTTTATTTTCTATATTACACTAAGTTATCTCAACAAAGCCTCACCCCACCCTTAACGTTGTGTTGCATCTTTTATATATAATTTCTGTTCTCCCTCTGTGAAGTTTCATCTTTGTGCAATAGCAATGGTATGGTGCACTGAGGAGACAATTGTTGTGGGAATCTATTTTCTAGCCAGACATTTTGGGTTTGGAGGGGATGTAGCTTCTTCCAGTTGAACAGCGGATGAGTTTATTAGGTATGTTGTTTCTCATGAGTGCTTTGATGGGTAAAAAGGAAAGGGGGTCTTTCACTCTAGCATGGTTCTTATTTTGCATTTATATTGGTATGCAAGTAAATAGTAGAATAGCTTCACTACTAATAGTACTTTACACTTACATATAACCCCTTGCATTAAAGGAACTCAAAGCAATTTACTAACATTCGTGAATTAAGCCTCACAACAGCCCGTGAGGTGAGCTAATATTATTACCCCTATTGTATAGATGAGGAGACTGAGGAACAGAGCAATTAAGTGACTTGTCTAAGGTCACACAGGAAGCTTGTGGCAGAGTCAGAAACATAACCCAAGTCTCCTGACACCTAGTCTTACGCATTATCTGTAAGACCATCCTTCTACGACTAATCATTAGCCAGTGCTGAAAACTGTGTGAGAAGAATCAAGAGAGATGAATCCATCCAATTCAAATAGTAACAGTTTGACAGTGCTGGTGGTGGTTAAATCCAGAATGGGATCTGGGGTACAAGTATAATTTACTGGCAGTTTTATCTGCCACTGAGTTAGAGGTTTTTAATGTAATAAAATACACTATTCCATACCTGAAGTCCACATTTTCAAACATGTGCACATATCTTTGTGCAGGTCCAGTTTGTACTCCTGAATATGGGACTTGTGCATGTGTGGTTACAACTCGTGAACACCCATTGGTTGGGCATGTGTAGAGAATCTGAGCCACTTGTTCTCTGATTTATAAAAATGTTAACGCCTCAAACACTAAAGCCTTTCATAATGTATCTTATATAGTTTGGATAGTGCCTTTGGGAGCTATTGCAATACAAACAAGTAATGATGTGTTTCCTACAAATATAAGCTTGTGAAAATGTTTGAGAACTGTGTTTTAACTGTCGTGTTAACTTGAATCTTGAAATGTAATTGTGAATCCAAACCATTCAGAGGAAATAAGCGTTCATTAGCTTCACTGGGCAGTATGGTTATTCCTGATTAGATGCTTACTCAATGAGCTGACAGTATGTTGACAAACCATTGCATTATGGATAATTGAAACGAATGTCCAATTTACAAAAATAAAGAGCATCCTATCTACTGCACTGTCTGAATATTTAAAAAAACCTCATTGAATATTCAATATATAGAGTTTAAGTCCTATTATAAATGGTTACAAAATCAGCATATTTTGAATGTCATATTGTTAGCAGTAGAGCTTGATTGATGTTTACATGGATTCAATGACTTTCTTATGGATAGTTTACATTTAAATCACAGAGTATGTTGAGGATCTAGTTTAAAAACAAGTCCAACACCCAAAGCAGCAAAGGAGTCAAAAATAGATTGAAAAATATTTTATTTAAAAACACTTAACAGATTAATCTTTGGCAACTTTTTTGTCTTCTGTTGGTAGCTCATGTGGAAAATGCAGGGCAAAATCTAAGGTCAGTTAGCAAATGCACTTAGGGCAAATCTACACTACAGTGCTTCATTGGCACAGCTATAGTGTGTCTGGTGAAGACATGTGTCAAGGTTCCTTCCCCACTCTGAACGCTAGGGTACAGATGTGGGGACCTGCATGAAAACCTCCTAAGCTTACTTTTACTAGCTTAGGTTAAAACTTCCCCAAGGTACAAACTATTTTACCTTTTGCCCTTGGACTTTCGCTGCCACCACCAAACGTCTAACACTGGTTACTGGGAAAGAGTTCGCTTGGAAACGTCTCTTCTCCCCCCCCCCCCCCCCAAAAAATCCTCCCAAATCTTAACCCCCTTTTCCTGGGGAAGGTTTGATAAAAATCCTCACCAATTTGCATAGGTGACCACAGACCCAAACCCTTGGATCTTAAGAACAATGAAAAAGCAATCCGTTTCTTAAAAGAAGAATTTTAATAGCAGAAAAAGTAGAAAGAATCACCTCTGTAAAATCAGGATGGTAAATACCTTAGATGGTAATTAGATTCAAAACATAGAGAATCCCTCTAGGCAAAACCTTAAGTTACAAAAAGACACAGAAACTGGAATATCCATTCCATTCAGCACAGCTTACTTTCTCAGCCATTTAAAAACAGAATCTAACACATATCTAGCTAGATTACTTACTAAGTTCTAAGACTCCATTCCTGTTCTGTCCCCGGCAAAAGCATCACACACACAGACCCTTTGTTTCCCCCCCCCTCCAGCTTTGAAAGTATCTTGTCTCCTCATTGGTCATTTTGGTCAGGTGCCAGCGAGGTTATCTTAGCTGCTTAATCCTTTACAGGTGAAAGGGTTTTTCCTCTGGCCAGGAGGGATTTTAAAGGTGTATACCCTTCCCTTTATATTTATGACAACATGCTATGAGGAGAGGGTACTCTCCTGTCAGCATAATTACTCCTCCGGGGCGAGAAGCATAAGCTATGTTGATGGGAGGGCGTCTCCCACTGACATAGTGCTGGTGTAGACCGCGCAAAACTTGCATCACTTGGGGGAGGGGGCTTTTTCACACCCCTGAGCGAGAAGTTAAATTGACGTAAGCGGTAGCGTAGACCTGCGCTTAGTCACCACAGCATATTTACTTTAATGGGGGCTGTTAGCATCTGGCCTGGTGCTGAGTCAGCAACATTTCTCACATTCCGCAGATCTGAAAAACAAAGGAAGGGGCAGATGTTAATTATAAGACACATAGCAAGGCTAAGTAACCACTCCCCCAACTAAATCTATGTACATCCCCATTGTGCTCCAGCAGTTATGTGTATCATCCCCATCCCCCTCGTTTCTCCTGCCCAACGAGCAATAAAACCCCTGGGGCCTTGCTACGTTAGGTGGGGCAGGAGGCAGGAACAACTTGCTGCAGGATACTGAAGAACCAAAAGGTATGTCTTCCTAATGGACTCAGCCCATTCCTGGCTCCTAGAGGGAAGGAAACTTAGGTCAGCTACAAAACAAAGCAAACAAAGGCAGAAAACAAATGGCAAAAACATAAACTTACAAACACTATTGAATGAATAAAAGAAAATCAAATCAAACTCCTTAACTCCTCAAGCACTGACAGGCTCTGGCAGTGGCTCAAGAGGAGATGGGTCCCTTTCTGCCATGACGTGCGCTGACAGCGTGTGGAGGGAGCAGTATATGTCCTCTACCCTTTCTGCTGCATACCCAGATGCTTGTACAGGACAGATGCATTTGAAGCATCCCTTAATACAACCCATAAAATATGGTTAGGTGCAAACAGATATTGTATACTTCATAGGCACTATGCACCTGCTTGCATGCTTGATTTTGCAATCTGAACACTCTTTTTAACTTTGTAAAATGTGATTATAAGTAATGTTGGTTCTGGTCTGCAGGTGACTATCCTGTCTGTGAAACAGAGCTTTTATGGAACCTGACATTTGCTAAGCCATCTTCTATTTTTATGATGTATTTAGTTAACCTATTTGTATGGTGCCTCTCTCTAAGCATCTAAGCCCCATTCAGTACAAAGCAATACTAGTTAAAAATGCTAACGTTGGACTTACAAATGAATTGTGCCTGAGGTAACACTGTCCAATAGTAGGCCCTAAGTCAGGACCTGTTTGGGGCTGCACTTAAGCATGTGCTTACAGTTAAGCAAAGTAATGCTGTCCTGAGTAGGGATGTACTTAAGAAAATGCCTAGAGGCTTTCCTGACTCAGGACTGTACATTTTTAAGGAGAAGATTCTATTAAACTAAAACTATCAAACCTGAATCAGGGGGCACTCGATAGTTTCCATTACCACATCTCCCCATCCCCCGCTCTTTATTTTCCCAAATCACCCTGACTGAGGCTGGACGCTTTCAAAGTGAAGTTGCTGGCAGAAATGCTTTTTTTTTAATTAAGTTTGAGCAAAGTCCATTCTACAATTTTTGAATCATGGGGCGGAGAACAAATGCAGCTGTCCCATAAGGGACATATGATTAGGTAATATTAACCATGCTATTTTAAAAATACAGCTATAGCAAAAGCTTCTGAAAGATTAAATTAAGCAAGGACATAGGCCTTGCTCAGGGCGAGTCCAGTCACTTGATTTTGGTAAAAAGGTTTAAAAATAAAATGAAAAAAATTATGAACAACTGAAAAATCCCTTATGAGCTTTTGTGATTTTTAGGAAAGCCAGATGCCACTCTGCCCCTTTGCCATGTCACTGCACGTGCTCTTGCGAAGAAACTAACTCCACTCTGGCAGGAACAGAGTCTGCTGCTGCAGGGACGCTTAGTGGGAATGAGATTGACACTCTCTGAATATTTGGCTCCAGACAATCTGGCCTCAATTTGCACATGCAATTTTTGCAGACTATTCCCTAAGAATGCATATGTTGTACAGTGATTCATTTAGACTCACTTTGCTCACACAAAAGTGTTTGTGTGCCTATTTTATCACTTATGTGCCAGGGTATGCAGTGGATCCTCCCACACAGTTGTGCATGTGACTAAGAAGAAGCCACGTTTTGAAAAACTTTGTCCTAAATGTCCCAATGAAACACAAGACCATTTTTAAAAAACTGCAATAACAGGAGAAAAACTGCAGTTGGCTAGAAACGAACGTTTCCTGTCAATTTTCTCTATTCTGTATGTTCTAAACTTCCATTAAAAAAAAGATCCTGTTGTAATGGCCATCACAATATAAACTGGTAAAAAAAATTTTACAGCCAAATTATAACAATAAAAAAGCTAAGAGCCAATCTTCCATGATCCCATTCATCTCAATGTTGTGTTAATTTCAAAGTCTAAATGGAATCATTTGCAGACTAATAGGAGAGAAAGTAAAAAAATATTATTCAAAACTTTTTGAGGAAAAATTACCTTTTTCAATTTTCATAGAAATCTGAGGAGCAGTGTCAACATTTTGTATCTTTTTGGAGGGGAAAAATGAAAAAAAGATTGTTTTCAAAAATGGAAGCTGAAAAAAATTGGTTTTGTTTTCTCAAAAAATTGGAAATTTTTATTTTAGAGTCTCAAAATATACTTATCTTCTGACCAACTCTAAATGGAATATTAGAGAGCTGCAGGTTTTTCCCATTCTTTCGCTAAATGTGGAAATTAAAGGCAAAAACTGTTCATGCAACATTAAGGTTGCACAGTTAAAAATAAATTGAAAAAAAATTGGAAAGTGCAAAAGTTAAAGTTCCAGGAGCAGGGTTCATGCGGGTACATTGTAAAGACATGGCGCCTGATTCTGCTCTCAGTTACACTGGTGCAAATGTATTAAGGCCTTGTATTAACTTCCATTGAAATCAATAGAGTTACACCAGTGTAACAGACCTATGTCATAGTTCTGTTCCTGTTTTCTGGTTAAAGGTTTAGCTTAATACAATATTTTTGAGTCATAAAATATATATTGGAATATAAACAGAATATGCAGTACAGATTGGAACCTTAACTTTTACACTCTGACCTTTGGTAATTTTCATTTAGCCACCTCCATGATGTATCAGTTGTAGTTTTGTGCTTTTAGTAGGATGCTTTATATAAATGTTTGACCATAAAGCTGTAAATTACCGCAGCTATTTAACACCGAGATGCTGATTTACATCTGCAATCAAATGGATAACACATTTAAAAGATTGATTGTCAAAGGCCCCAATACATTGCTGCACCATTATGCAGTGGTGTCACTTGCTTCTATGCAATTAAAAGACGCCATTGTGTGGCATTGTTAATGTTGCTGTGGACACAGCTGTAGGGGGTTTACTCTTTGTGTAGACTTTATTATCTCTTCTCAAATGAAAGCTGGACAAAGAATAAATCATCACTGAAAATATGGATGTATGTTTTAAATAGATATTAGGCAAAAAGCTGCTTTTTCTTCCATAAAAACAAAATGACAACATATAGCAAATTTTGCTTTTCTGATCTTTTTCACCTTAGGAAAGATTAATGCTTGTTTAGATTAGAAATCCTACCCTAGCCAAGGGACTGGATGCCACTAGTAATGACAAACAAAGCTGTTTTTCACCCCAAGGTCACTAGCACAGATCCTATCTAGGTCTCCAATGACCACCATGGCTTCTGAGTAGCCTATGTGCAGTGGGTTGGTGATCTTAGTCCAGTTCCCAGCAGACAGGACTCTGTATCATAAACGCGGTCTTCACATTTGG